TTCAAACAAACAAAAAAATCCGTGGAAAACAAAAAGAAGCCTGGACGACCAAAGTTGCTTTCGGGCTGCAGATGAGCGGTGGATAGAGCAGCAAATCAAAAAAAAAATCCAAACATGAGCGCTCCCAAGCTCTCAACAGAAGTTTTGCAAACATCTCAATATAAATTGTAATCCGGAGAGTATCCGAATAGTTTTACGAAAAAATAATTATAATGGATGAGCAGCACGGAAGAAACCATTTATAAACGAGGTTAACCGAAACATTTCATAAAAGAAAATGAAATAAAATAAAATGAAATAAATAAAATAAAATTTGTCATGTGGATAAGGATTTTCAATTCTGGAAACAAGTTTGCAGATGAAAGCAAATTTAATATATTTAGGTCAAATGGACAGTCGTATGTTTGGAGAAAACCGAATGAAGAGTTGCTAGAAAAGAATTTACGTCCGACTGTTAAACACGGGGGCGGCTCAGTAATGGTATGGGGTTGAATGTCCGCAGCTGGTACTGGAAATTTGTGTTTCATAAATGGTAATATGCACCACAAGCAATATCTGATCATTTTAAAAGAAAATTTAGTGCAAAGTGCGGAAAAGTTGGGAATTAAAGACAATTTCTAGTACTGCCAAGACAACGATCCCAAGCATAAAGCACTTGATGTCCGTCTATGGATGATGTATAACTGTCCTAAAGTGCTTGAAACACCTCCTCAATCTCCCGAAATTAACGTAATTGAACATCTGTGAGCTCATTTGGAAAATAAACTGAAAATGCATGTCATTAGAAATAAGAAAGACCTAGAAGCCGCTATTTTGAAAGAGTGGGTGAAAATAAATTCTTTAACATGCAAGAAGCTAGTTGAATCTTTGCCAAGAAGACTGAATGCTATCAGAAAAAGTAAAGGCTTGCCGACCAAGTATTAAGAAAGTTTTGTTTCTCTTTTAATAATATTTTTAAAATCTATGTTATGTATATGTCCGAGTTCTTTTTTGTCATCAGTTTTGTTAAGTTGTTATGTTCATATTATTTTAAACGACCGAATTGAATTTAGTTTATAGTTTAGGTTGTTTTGAAAAATACACTTGAAGAATAGAAATATATGTTAAACGATTTGCATTTTATTATATATTTTTTTGGTTAAAGTCATATAACTTGTGTATCCGAGTTCATTTTTGAGCCACTGTATGCAGCGAAAGAGTCAGAGCAGGCTAAAAATATAACCACGTGGTTTATGGACATGCTTATCCAGACGAGTGCATTTTACTTGTGTGTTTAAAGCATTGCAAAGCAATTACTCAATTGGGCTGAGCACATAGTAATTGAAATACATAACTAAACATTGGTCAAGTAAAAAGTTCGTTCGGTTATTTCAAATGTGCGCTATTTGTTTTCGTAGAAGGCTCCGCCCCTATTGGCAAAAAACTGGGAGAGCCAATTTTCGCAGGCCTCTTTTGAGGCCAACTCCTCATCATTAAGCGCGTTCGTCATGGACAGGAAAAGATGGCAGTCACTTGGTGCGGACTATAAGGTGGGTGCATTAAGACCTCCAATCCGAGCTCCTAGAGCTTCTGGCGCGTCACCAAAACCGTGTGTGGCCTGGCGTTGTGCTGATGAAACACACTTCGGACTTTGTTGAAGAGGGCCTCTTCTGGTGAGTGCTGCCTTCAAGCGGTCCATTTGTTGGCAGTAGAGGGCCAAATTGAGCGTTTGGCCATAGGGGAGCAACTCGTAGTAGATGATTCCTTGCCAATCCCACCAAACACACAGCAAAACCTTCCTGACCGTCAATCTGGTCTTGGCCACCGTCTTGGGTCGCTTCCCCGAGTTTGACCACGACCATTTGCGCTCGATGTTGTCGTAAGTGATCCATTTTTCATAGTGTGGCACCCGAACATCGTGGTTCCAAACGGTTTTCTGGCTTGTCTTTAGTTCCTCAGCAATTAAATAAGTGCTCACGAGACGGTCTTCTTACTTTACTTCACATAAAAGAGCATTTTGTTTTTGCTATTTCATATCTTTTGTTGTCGACGTCGGTCAGTGTTGAGTGTTGATAAATCAAAATGTGTAATTATAAAATCGGTTTTGCACGATTAACGCTTGTAGTTTTGAGTTATCTGAAATTGTGAATTTATTACAAATAAAATTTAACGATATTTCAATTAATCACAGTGTCAGACATACAGGGTGCGCCATCTGTGGCGATAGCATTTGAAACTTGAATGACTTTTGTTTTAAACTGTTTGTTTTTTAATTTTTTATGCAAAAACTTGATTTGTTGCTTTCTATTTTATTTACATTATGTTCTGATTTTATTATGCAACAAATGACCGCGTTTCGTGCATTTTGCATCACACTTTCCAGAGCGATGTTACCCGGCGAATATTTGCTCTGAGCTGAGCTATGATCTGCGGCTTGTCGATTTAAACTTTGCTCTTCAAATACTCACTTATTTACATTACTGGCGTAGACACCGCTTTTGCTGTTTGGCACCGATTGGAAAAACCAAGTACAGCCAGGTCCTTCTTTACCTAGTCCTTCCAACAGAGAGACCTCTTCCTCTTCCTCTGCTTCCACCGGCGGGAACTGCATCGAAAACTTTCAAAGCTGGAGTATTCGCATCCATCCGCATGACCTTGCCAGCGTTGCCGCTGCTTCTTAATTCGCTGAACTATAGCAATGTCGTCGTATAACTCGCACAGCTCACCGTTCCATCGTCTGAGGTATTCGCCGTTGCCAATGCGCAAAGGACCATAAATCTTACGCAAAACCATTCTCTCTAAAACTCTTAACTCAGATGTTGTCATCTGGACGGGAACGATGAGGGACTTGTAGAGTGTGGTTGTCGTTCGTCGGGAGAGGACTTTACTTTTCAATTGCCTACTCAGTCCAAAGTAGCAGCTGTTGGCAAGAGTGATTCTGCGTTGGATTTCCAGGCTGACATTGTTGTTGGTGGCGATACTGGTTTTTAAACAGACGAAATTATCTACGACTTCACAGTTATGACTGTCAGCAGTAACGTGGGAGCCGAGTCGCGCATGCGATGACTGTTTGTTTGGTGACAGGAGATATTTCATCTTGACCTCGTTCACTACCAGACTCATTTGCTTCGCTACTTCATCGAGTCTGGACAAAGCAGAACTAACGGCGCGGTTGTTGTGGACGATAATCTCAGTATCAACCGCGTACGCCAGCAGCTGTACACTCTTATAGAAGATTGTACCTTCTCTATTCAGCTCTGCAGCTCTTATTATTCTCTCCTGCATCAAATTGAAGCAGTCACACCATAAGGAGTCGCCTTGTCTGAAATCTCGCTTAGTATCGAACGGATCGGAGAGGTCCTTCCCGATCCTGATAGAGTTTTTTTTTTTGATCAAGGTCAGTTTACACAGCCGTATGAGTTTTTCAGACATCATCGTGCTGTGGAAGGCGGTTTTAGTCCGTATACCGAGTTGCTGATAAGTGCTCTCAGAAAGCAGGATTGCAAGTCGAGTAGAAAATCCTTCGGCAGTAAGCTCTTCAAATGCCTCCACAAAACGAAATCCGGCGGCGTCTAGTGGCTAAAATCGCAATTTTCAATATGCCGGTCGAACAGCGTGCGGAGTAAAGTCATTGAATCGCGGCTAGTGTGTGCTGTAGCTGCGCCCTGTTGGATCCAGAAGTGGGTCATGTCTTTTTCAGTCATTTTCAGAAATATTTACAAGATTACGCGGCATCGCTTTGTGTTCACTTTTTTGTTCATGAGGAGGCAGATGGCGCACCCTTTATATACGAGCTGTAGCGATGCACTTTGTGGTCTATGACTTGACGTTTTTTAGTGAATAGAGAGATCTAAAGTTTATTCTAAGCCGCTTACTTACAGCTGATGGATTTTTCTGAGAAGCCGACAAGCGCCAGTGTCTAGCGCTATTGCACTTACCACAAATAATCTATCCAAACACCACTTCATAGCTGAATTCAAATCATCTGTTATTCCTAGACGTCCTGATATATCGAAGGCAGTCAATATGTTGCTATTGTTGGTGTTGTAACGGGGCTAAAGAAGCGGTCACGTCATCTCCTGGGAGACCCAAAAAATAGTCAAATTCGACAAACTCGCCCAAAAGAGAAAGCGACTACACCATTGTCTTGTGGTTGCTACACAGGGAATGTCCGAACCGAGTCTTAAAAATTGGAAGTTCAGTTTTCATTCATTCATTATGATGTTCAGGGATATGTATATATATATGAATCGGCAGAGATCCTCCACCAATTTGAGACGTGCTCCTCGTAGTATTCGAACAAATAATGGGACCTACAGTTTATACTAAGCGGTCTCCGAACGGCCGATGGATTTGAACGAGAAGTTTTTATTTCGTGCCATAAAAATACACTCGGAGCGATTGATTGAGAAAATTATGCGGTGGACGGGTTCCCATAAGGCTATTTACAGAAAAAGAGTTCGATGCCTGTCGGTGATACGTTACGTGAAAGGGCTACGCATGGCTGTGTCTGCCTGACAGATCTTTGCCCTGCAGGTGTTTGGAGCATTCATAGCACATATCGTCAGCACAACGCTTCAGCGCCATTTTTGACCGGCTTAACGGTTCGCTTCTAAGTTGTCACCAACGTTTCATTACCTTTAACTGTCTGATTGGATTTCGTTGCACTTTTGTACCTTTGTGAGCAAGGAGTTCGTGTGCTGGGCGAATTATTTTAGTCTGGCCTCTGTGGGGAATAAGCCGCCGTAAGACAAGCCTACGATTTGTGTTCAGTTATGCTCTATTCATACAACATTCCCTAAAACCGAATTAAGAAAAAGCGGCTCCATTAGAAAGAAGCGAATTGTTCTAATCGATTGAATTCCATCTCTTCGCCTCTACTAGGTAGATACAGTTTATTATGGGTTTCTATGAAACTTATGAGCGCACATTGATTAAAAAATTATTAAAATCTATGCATATCTACATAACCTCAAACACCGTTTCAATAACCTCAAATTTCAATATTTATTCTCTTTCAGAGAGGTGATCATGCGCGCCGTACGCACCGATCGTAAGTTCTGGGAATTTGGTCGAAAATTAGTCGCTGCTTTATGGGATGCGCATGCGCGCATATATCATGGTTATGAGGTTATCGGCATGGAAAATATACCGGAAACGGGACCAGCATTGATGGTCTACTATCACGGTGCAATACCGATTGATATGTATTACCTAAACTCGCGCATCATTTTACAGAAAGATCGACTCATATACACAATAGGCGATAGATTCCTCTTTAAATTACCTGGTTGGGGCACAATATCGGAGGCATTCCACGTTAGTCCCGGCACTGTGCAGTCGTGTGTGGGCATACTGAAGGAGGGCAATTTGCTCGCGATATCACCGGGTGGCGTTTACGAGGCACAATTCGGTGATCACTACTACGAGCTGTTGTGGCGTAATCGTGTGGGATTTGCGAAGGTCGCTTTGGAGGCGAAAGTGCCGATAATACCATGTTTCACACAAAATCTGCGTGAAGGTTTCCGTCAGGTGGGCATTTTTCGTAACTTTTTTATGAAACTCTACAATGCGGTACGCATACCGGTCTACCCGATTTACGGTGGTTTTCCGGTAAAATTTCGCACCTTCATTGGCCGGCCGCTGGCTTACGACCCCACGCTAACGCCGGAGGATCTACAATTGAAGGTGAGTGCAATGAGTTTTGCATTTGAAATTTATATCAGTTAAATTTTGGTAAATTATTTGTTCTTTTGCAGGTGGCCACCGCTTTGGAGGAGCTCATCAATAGCCATCAACGCATACCCGGCAGCATATTTCATGCGTTGCTCGACCGTTTTCCGCCGTTTCGCAGTAAAAGAAAAGATTGCAAATAAGCTGCATGGGAGCGTATTTCATAAGATTGTGCTGTGCGTGCGCCCGGAATAGTAACTGTTTTTTAAAAAATCTCCATTTTTACTGCTCTACTGTGTTATTTTTTAGTTATTCTTTCATTTTTGTTGAGGGGAGGGAAACGCAAAAGACTTTCCGCTTACTATACAAACACATAGATGTATACATACAGATATTCATATATATATACACACATAAAAAACATATTGCGCGTCTTTATTGCGAATTTTGCTAAGCAAAAAGCAAAGAGGACAAAAAATTCACAAAAAGTTGACAAAGAGAACAAAATGAAAATATTTAATGAACAAAACAACAAAAAAAATTAATTTTATTATTACACCAAAAGTAGCTTTCAACGTTTCCATAAAATAGCCATAAGTGTACTTAATAATGCAAAATATATGTATTTTTTTTTTATTAATTTTTTATTATTTCGCCTGACGTAGATTACAGTAGTGGAAGTGTCGAGGGGCTTTCCTTTCTATAAACAACAATTTGCATTTTTCGTTGTGCTTGTAATGCGCACAGGTGTTGCACTTGGCATTACAGTACCGTTAATTTATTAATTTAAGTAATTTACTACTTTCTCTGCTACTTAGTAGCACAATTTGAGTGTTTAGGTTAATAGTATTGCAAGTTTGTGTAAAAAGATGTCTTTTTTTTTATCAACTTTTTACATACAAACACACATACACATACATGTGTATTACATTTAACGGTATTGCAATAATTATCTTAGTAAGTGGTTAAAATTATGTAAAATAAGTATGTAATTTATTGTATGAAACATGTATTTGTCTTAATATATTGTGTAATTAAATGGCGTGTGAATATTAAAATTAGATATATATACAAACAAAATGAAAATACTGTTTTTGAAAAATAGGTATTTTGAAAAGAAATATTTTTTTAAACACTAAGCATAGTTGAATGAGTTGAACACAACATTGAGTTGTTCGCGACAAACCATTGAGGAAACCTACAAGTAACAAAACTCATATTTTTCACACACACAAGCTCACTTTTTCAATGCTGTGTGAACGAAAGAAATTGCAATAAGAATAGAATGGAATGAAAATCGAATTTGAGGATAGGCACCAACCGCAGGCACTAGCCGCGGGTTGCCTAGATAGATTTTTTGCTACGTTTCTCTGCATTTCGAACAAAACCGTTTGTATTTAGTGTGGTGTGTTACCGTGCTAAGTATTTCTTCGTAAAAGGTTTGAATATATAATGTTGTCAAATATCTCCCTTCCGCTTTTTTGTCTTTTGAATTTCGCGGCTATGTACAAAGCAGAGAACGTAAATATAACGAGAAGGTTCAGGGCGTGCCGATTGTCATTTTGTTCCGCTTTGCAGTCGACGCCAGTTTTCTATGGATGCATTTCACCCCAGATTTCGATGAGCCCTGTTCACCACATTTTAACAGAGAACTAGCAGAATTGTGCTCAAAATAGTAGAATGAGTACAATAATGAGAATTTCCATGCAAAATAAATGTAAAATGATAAAAACCTATTGAAGATAAATGTAAACAGCATACATGTATTATCAGAAACTTCTGATTTCAATTTATGTTTATTTGCTTATTTTAATTTGCAAATTTACTAATTTTTGGAATTTACTATTTTATTTTTATTTACTTACATATTTCTAATTTTTCTAATAATTTTTTAATGATTAAATTATTGGTAGTCATTATAATTGAGATATAACAAAACAAATTTAATTTAATTCTTTCATATATTATTCATTTTTGGCGTAAATATCGAAATAAGTAAACAAGTCAATATTCATTCATTCATTTAAACGTATGAGCGTGCGTACATACATATGTACATATATATGTATGTACATATGTTTGCTTATGCGTATTAAGAAGAAGCAAAACGTACACATCTAGCAAAAAAAGCCATGCCATCACCATGACAACACTATTTTAATAGCAAAAAAAGTCCTTCTCGAGACGAACGCTGGCGCACCGTCTACCAAGCGAGCTGCGCAGACTGCACACAACTCCCCGCATGCGACTCGCCTACAAACCAAAGTGCCAAAAATTGAAAGTTGAGCAAATTTGTGTCTTCTTCGACAACAGCAAATCGCGCACTCGATAGAGTGAACTTTTTGTTAAGAATTACAAAACTTATTTAAAATGAATGCCAAACAAATGTTTAGAAAAAAGTCTCATTATTTTTAAACATGAGCTTTTACATTTTATTTATGTTTAGAAATTCGAAAAAATGTAAAATTTAATAAGAAACTTGAAATCAATGAGGAATTAATTCACTATATACAAATGACGCCTATAATTTCTAAAACTTCCTCGATTATTGAATTAATACATATTTTAATTATGAAAAATATAGGAATATTATTTAAAAAGGTTAATTAACTTAGGACAATTAAAGATTTCAATACAAATTTCAAATCTATGAAGTTATATACGAATCACTCTTGTAGCTGTTGACTAGTGACTGATATATTCGTGGTATACAACGTTTACTGTACCTGAATTCGTACACCAAAATGCGAAAATATGAAATCGAGCAAAATTTTGTGATCGTCGCGAAGAAATCGCTTGTGGATGGCGGGGTATAAGAGCAAGGGCTCGGGCATTATTAAGATTGTGTGCGTTTCGCGTATACATATTAAATTGCTTGCATGTATGGGTTTTCACTTTGCCTGAGTTCAACATCAATTTTTCGATTTTTGCTTAAATTTGACTTTGACTTGAGGAAACCAGAGAATGTTTATATTTACGTTCTCTGAGGAAACTGTTTGTTGATGAAGAGTCGAAGGAAAGGGGGTTTACTCGTCTTCATTGAAATCGAACATTCTAGAATGTTCTAGAATTTTCTAGAACTTTTAGAATATTATAGAAATTCTTCACGTTGTGGACAAGGTGCATGCGGGAAGGCAAGGAAATTGCTTGCTGGGCAAAATGAGCTAACAGGCGAACAGCAAATTTAGTAGCACGATGCCTATTTGCTTCATTTTTGCAGACGATGATTGAATTTTTGTCAGTGGCAAGAATTTGAAGCAACGCTTGTGGACGACACATGAATGTTACGGGTTCAAGGAAAAGGGCAAGCTTTGTATGTTGTTGGTGTTGCTTCACTATCGCGACCATAATGATTTGTGTGTTTTTGTTTTTTGACACTGTTGCGAAGAAGCAACTTGTTGGAATGGCATGCGCGGTGGTGTTATGAATGGACGCAATTTGCTTTGTTGAAGGGCGCAGGCGTCTATGAATGAAAATGTTATTGTTGTAATTGATTTCAGCTTTTGGGCGAGAGAAGCATTTAGAGGGAAGTATGTTTTCACATAAGCAATGCGTTTGTATGTTTTTGCCTATGCGTGTAAGAATACTTGTACATACATCTGTACATACATACATACAACTCATTAATATGTTAAAGTTACAATTAAATTAAAATTCAGATCAAAAAATCCTCCTTATTACATACGCTGTTGCGAAATGCCGACGGCAAATCGTCCCTTCATAAGGAAATTCTTCACTATTAGATAATACAGAAATTTGAAAAAGATGTACAATACATTAATGAAATAAATCCTTTCACCCCCATTCCAAAAAATATATTAATAATTTGAGAATAATATTTTCGTTTATTTTGATAAAAAGCCTACAAAAATTCGTTATCTAAAGTTAGCATAAACAATGTTAGTTGCAGACAGATCAGTACATTGCTGAGCATATTTAATTTTGCTACGCTCAGTAATGTTATGCATCAATAGCAAACTCTGTTAGTTTCTGGCGGCCTGTGGTGAAATGCATCCATCGTAACTTGGCAGCTTTTGACAGTTTACACGCTGGTCCGCAATTGAACCTTCTCGTTATATTTACGTTCTCTGTTATTGCATTTCTGTGTTATTCCGCTCCATACCGCTACATATACTAACTACATATGTATGCATACGTACATATATATATGTACAAGTATGTACCGCGAAACAAGCAACATGCAAAAGAATTACATTTATTTATGTCCAAAACACATCACTTTTATTCAGTTTTACTAAATTTCCAGTTTCTCGCTTTTTTTAATGCTTTTTGTTTTTTGGCGAAGATCAAAAATTCCGCTCCAAACTCAACCATATAAAATCACAGCACCGCTGTCCTTATCATACTTGTTGAATCAAAATTTTCACCGATCACTTGCGCTCTTGTGGCCTTCCCTTTCGCGCTCTAGTTGGTGGCTGGAGAGAGAGAGCGATCTAGTATCTTGTGCTTAGAGAATAGTGAAAATGGCAATAAAGTTTCTGATTTGGAATTTTTTCGTCTGCACATGGCTTTTTTGTTATTGCTGTTATTTCTTTGTCGGTTGGCTGGCTGTTGAAGCTGTTGGCGATAGATTGGCTTGAAAGCATTTGTTGCATTTCTTAAATATTTGTTTCTTGTTTTTGGTATGATGTATGTTTGATTGATCGCAATTGCTCTTTTTTTTTAAATAATGCTTCGTTAACAGAACGGCCCAAGTCTTCACAGTGTGTTTTTAACAGAGAGCTTCACTGTCAAAAATTTAGTGTATTATATATTTGGAGTGATTAAATTAAATTTGTACATATTTTAAAGAAAAGCGATCTTTTCTGACCAAAAATTTAATAAACTTTGATCTATATGCAATATTAAAAAATTTTCTAATAAAGTTCTTTTTGAATTTTTGAAAAATATTCGCTCTTAGACTTTGATTCATGCCATAAATTAAGTCAACATCATTCAAATAAATGAACTATCAAAAAATTGTTTATAATAACAATTTACATCCAATAATTTGTACAATGTGTTATTTATTTAAGAAATTCCTCCTCCTAATCTCTTATTGGACAATGTAGGCTCACACATCATAAAGCTGAGTGCGCCTTTCTGTTAATAACATCGCTGTTTTTCATTATTGCTGTTGTTCTTTATAGCAGTAACGTTCGATAACAATGGTCACTGATCGAGGATACAAACATTCCATTTTTATTACGATCAGATTCGTTGACGTTTTGTTGAACTGGTTGAAAGCATATTACACACACATGTTTGACTGCTGTAAGGATGGGGTAGTGAAACGGCAATTAATCGATGAAAATTTGTGTTTGAAGAAGTTGAATAAATAAAAAATAATAATAAATTATTAGTAAAATATTTTTCAACAAAATCCATTTACGAAATTGTGGATATTTATACAAAAGTGTGAAATTTAGCAATATATTATTTGACAATTAAATTGAAAATAAGTTGCAATTACTAATTCTCCTCTTCTCGCGCTTTCTATGCAAGTCCACTGAGCTAATTTTGTGTTAATTATTTTGTACTTGCAGTTATTGGAAATTATACATACTTACCTATGTACATATGTACACCACAAAACCTACCGCTGAAGTTTATAACTTTTAATTTTACTTGAAATGATATAAGACAACGCTTTGTTAAATATTGCAAAGAAAAATAATAAGTGAAAAATGTGTAGAAAATTAAAAAAATAAACGCTGAAATGAAATACCAAAACAAGTTAAGAGAAACGAGGAATTTCAAAGTGGTTGCGCGACGGTGAAGACGAAACGTGCGCGTAACAAAGACGAAACGAGCGTGTGCGCGTGCGCAAAGTGAACGGACGTGGACGTGTGCAAGAGCGAGTAACCGATCGTGTCGAGCATCAACAAGTAGCTGTGAGTTTTAAGCAAAATTGCATTTCATCGGGTATTTTGTGTGGAAAAAGTGCAACGACTGTTGTTGCAACAACAACAATCGCGCAAATAAGCAAAACAAAAACAAAAATTGTGTTCGGGTCGCAAAAGTATGCAAAATAAAAACAGAAAGAAAAAATGAGTCTGAAATAAAAAAAAAATAATAATATTAAAAATGCGTTAAAGTAAAAAATACCAGAAATAATATACACAGCAACTACAAAGAAGATTGCGATTTCATGTGCGCGTATATGAAAAGCAAAAAGTGTACAACGAAAGCTGGTTTATAATGTAAGCGAAAAGTGCGTATATTTCATTTAAAATATTTTTTTTTTTTCGTAAAAAAAGAAGAATTTCAATTTACTCAGCTATCGCGTCAAAAGCTATGAAGCATTGCATATAAAGTTTTGGGATATAAATAAAATTGATAACGTATTGTTTTGTGAAATTTTACTTTGCTTTTTACAGACACTATTACTTTTATTTTCAAGTTTATGTGCGCCATTTGTTTTAATTTCGCTTTTCTGCAATTAATTTTGCGTGTTATTTCTTCACATTTAATTTGCCCTCAACAAAGTGTGTAAAAATTGCTTGTTATTGTTTCAATTCAACTAAAGTTGAATTAAAAAATTAGTTAAGGTTCATGAAAATGGATTGATTAAAAACTTTTATTTTTTGCACGCTAATGAAATATGTTCATAATTTTTTTTTTAAATAAATAAATAAATCACATTCTTTAAATTGTTGCTTGAAATTATGAAGAATAATCAAACGAAAAACGCAAACAACAATAACACCAATAACAATAACGCCAACAGTAAAAATTTAAATTATTTAAATAACATCAATAAAAAATTCAATAACAGCACCACCATCAACAACAATAAAATCAACAAAGGCACACAATCGTCAGCAAGCAACATAACAGGCAACATTATAACTAACAGCAATAAACAAAATATTAATAATAATAAATCAAAGAACAAGAAGAATAATAATAAACGCACATTACGATTGGGTCGTAATAAAATGGGCGGCCGCAAGGATGTGCGTCGCGGCCTCGAGCCATTGGAATTCGAGGAATGCATTGTTGATAGTCCAGAATTTCGTGATAATTTAAATCGTCATGAAAAGGAGTTAGATCACACTAGTCATCAAATCAAGCGTATCATCAAGGAGGTAAAGGATTTGATGAGCGCAGCTAAAGGTGAGTGAGACAAAGTTCATCTAAAATGGTTGGTAGCTGTAATGTATTTTTTTTTTTAAGATTGAGAAATAGTTGAAAATTCTCTATAGAACTTGTGATCAAAAACAAATTCGTAAAAGGTGGTCAGTTTAGCTCGAAAAATATACTCACCATATATATATACATATACATATATATATATCATATATATACCGCATAATTTTCTTTTTTTATTGAGACCTGACGCACCTCAAACTGCTTTTTAGATAAAAAAAATTTAATAAAATGATTACTTCTGTCCGCAGTTGTTCCAGAATTTTTCAGCGAGAAGGCTAACCTGCATTAAAAGGAAATAAGATATAGCCGGTTCTTGATAACGGAACGACCCGTATTTTTATTCGGCCAATGACTGTCATCACCGCAACATTTGCCACAAACTACTTTGGGGGATAATTTTGCGGCTACAACAACAACTAAAAAATGTAAATCGAATTGGATTGTATCTCGATTTCAATAGAAAGCAGATTTCAGAGCACACTTTATGCTTATACAAAATATATTAATTTGATTTAATTACAAAAACATCATCACAATGAGAAATTACCACATTTTGGCATTAGTTAGAAACCACACATTTTGGTACCTATACATCTGCATACGTACATACATATTTGTGTCCGCATTTACCCAACTGAATTTGAGAAATATTGAATTACAAAACTTTAAAATGCAAAATATTTACATATGTACATATTATATTATGTGTATATAAACCGTAAGAAAAAAATACAATAAAAACTCAACGCCACTTAAACAAATGCAACGCTGTTCTTGCAATGCATTCAACAGCTGTTGCTGCGCCTTCAAACATTGGTCTCCGCTTGCTATTTACATATTCACATTTTAGATTTGCCGTAGCATTGGCCAGTGATTTTCTTCTGCTTTGCGAATTGCTTTTTTTAATTTCAAGCCAAACAATTGTTTGTTTTTACCTTAGCGAGCTTCGGACAATTACAATTTGCGTGTTGAGCGCTTGCGGAATACTCATACGGTAGCCGGTTACACACGTTTGCGGCGCAACAACAAAAACATGAATAAAACTTTTGCCGTTGGCTGGTAAGTAGGTAGGTAGGTAGGTGTGCAAAGTACGAATTATAAACATCAAGCAATTTTGGTTTGCAATGTGTATAAAACGAAATCCAAAAACAATTGAAATATTCCACACAACAGCCGTACATGCATACATATATAAATAAATGCAAAGGAAAAAATTTACAAATACAGATACTATGCATGTGATTATTTTGGTTTCCTTTGCTTTTTTATGTTTTTGTTTCGCAAACGTAATCCGTTGACCGTTTTGTATCCCATTGCATATTGTCTTTTGTCTTTCTGCCTGCGACAAGTGGTTGGCATTGACGATTTAATGTTGCATGTTGTATTTGGTTTTGTGTTATGTTGCTGCAGCTGTTGTAATAATTAACTACGGTAGGTAGCAGTGACTGCAACGAGTTGACGCCAGTTTTGATAGTTGCGATGAAACGATTTTACTGTAATTTATCTTCAGCTAACAATTTTACTTCCATTTGAGTCACAAACTTGTTGTTGTTCATACACTCTTCTGAATTTATTACCTTTTTTTAAATAATTAGTTTTCTTTTAATGCATGATAGAATTTTATATAATTTTTACTTTCCTTTACGCCCTAAAACAGCCGAAATTACAATTTGAGTGCCTACACCCTTTTCGCCGACTTACTCACGACTTGCCAAAGTCGAATTAGATTTATTTCTAGCATCGTATGGCTAGGGTAGTTCGTCAGGCTGTAGCGAACAACGGCGTTTCCGAGGTTTGTCATTGAACACGTGATATAATTAAAACCATGGTTCGAATTGTTGTGCTTGCATGTACATTTGAATGTATGCAACTGCATACATGTGTATATAGCAAAGTCGCCGTGTTGCTACATGTTATTCACAGCTGTTTTGCGTTGCTTACAAATACAATCGGAGAGGACAACGAGTGCGTGAAAACGGCGTGACGGCGACGCTGACGACGACGACGACAGCTAACTGTGCAACTATGTAAACGAATAGAAAAATTAAAATAACAAAACTTCATAATGCTGTAACCAGAGGGTATTTATTCGTACACATGCAGGCCTATTCTTACTGCTACCGGTAAAGTAAATTTTGTTCCTTTTTTTAACACCCGAAATTGAATTTGGTATTTTGGCGAACTGGTTAGAATATTTGAAAAAAAATTGGCAGCACTACTTTTTTCGTCCATGTCAAATTACATTTTCCAGTTGATAAAGTAAAAAGAAAAATATTCACATCGAAATGGAAAACGGTGCATAAAAAAATTGAAAAGTTTTATTAATTTGTTTATTAAATCATAAATATTTGGACCTAATTATGGAAAATATGCCTGGAAAACAAAAAAGCTGAATGAAAGTGCTATCTTCCAAATTGAAAGGGTAATTTTTTCGCGCTAACATGCGACTTGTTCCACTTTTTTTTTCTTCATCTTCCCTGAATTCCAGACGTAAAATATGCCTACCCATTTTGGATTTTATTTTTTCTCAAACTAACAACACAAAATCAAACATCAGATTATGTGTTACCTCCTATTTCGCTGGTAAAAAAATTCACAGGGTGACAGTGAACTCAGAATACGAAAGAGTAACAAAATTTACTGAATGGTACATTTTAATACCAAAGGAAGTTTTATCACTGCAATGGCTTTAGTCATCTTAAGACCTGCTGAGGTCAGGTACCCAAATCCCGTATGTGGCCTTAGCTCATCGTCCTACCGCTCTATGTCTTTTCTGTGTGTCAGGCGAGAGACAGACGAAACTCCTACAATTCAACTGCAGCAGACCCAAGTGGAATATTGAGAAGAAGGTCGATTTCATGAGTCGGAAGCATCTGTCAGAAGCCAATCTAACCCTCGCAGCGTTTCCGTAAATATGCTGTGACCGCTGCCGCTCGCTTCATACCGGCTGGCCGAATTCCGCCCAAGCTTTCCTACTGAATCAGAAGCGGGTTTATCATCGAAGCGCGACGACGTCAATCCGATCTCCGATCAGGCATGGTTTCAACCACTGGAATCATACATACATATGTATATATTGAACACCCCAATTTCTATTTCTTTTTATTTATTTTAATTTGCATTTGATTGTTATTTTGTTTTTATTTACATTTTCTTTGGTGGTGTATGCCACTACCACTGCTGTCGGCATTCAGTTGTTCAACAGTTGCATGGTTGCATGCTTTTGGTGTCAACGTCAAATGTTTGGCTGGCATCAGCTGTTGTTGTAAGTATTTTGGTTGTGGTGGTTGTGGATGTGTTGTTGATTATGTTAATTATTGTATTGGCTGTACGGCTTTTGTTGTTGCCTGCAGGTGGATAGATTCATATTTACATATACCTATTTACCCTTGTTTGTATATTTCTCTATTTACATACATACATTTGTTTGTCTGCTTGTCAGTCTGGTTACCGGCAACTTGTTTTTCTCGTTATTACATTCGCTGCTGCTGGTACTACTATTCGTACTCATACTCGTGCTCGTACTCCGACGCCAACATTTATTCGTAGTTTTTTTTCACTCGTTTTTTTTCGTTCTTTTCTTTTAATTGGTGGGAAAATCTTAAATGATCAATTGCGCAGATAAATTAAATAATAGTGGTAAAATGCATAAGTGTACAATAATAATAAGAATAACAACAAAACACTTGTATTAATGTACTAATGTACATGTTTACATACATGCCTATGTACTCGGGGTAAAAGTGCAGCAGCAGCAGCAGCAGCAGTAATGGAATGTTGCGCAACGAATTTGTAAAATATTGGCAAAAGTTAGAAATGTTGTGCTACAAGGCTGACGAAGGAAATGATAATATGTGTGCAGTAATTGTGATACAGTAAATGTGTATTAAAAAGCATCATATTAATTTTAAAAAATTTCAATGATACAAAACGATATAGAACTGCGTTAATTTTCCCTTCGACCAATTATAATAATGTTTCGTCACGCTAGATGTGGAAATTGAATTTTAATTAAATGTACTATAATTAACGCCTTTGAACTAAAAATAAAAATTTTTCCAATTTATTTATTTAAAGATCATAAAGTAAATTCCAAATTCCATAAATATCGCACAAAAATAAACAAATAATAATTTAAAGTATTTGTAAAAGGAAAAAAAAAGAATAAATAAAACAAAATACCTTTCCTGCTTGCAAGCATTTTTTGCATGCTTGAGAAGGAATTCGCATTGAAGTGAAAATTCTTTACATCGCCAACATCCCACAACACTATGGGGGCGCTTTATGAGAGTGCGAATGATGATCAACAAGTGTTATCGACCGGCTAACTGGCCGACTATGGGGTGGCAAGGGAAAAGAGTAGCGTCACAAAAATATGAAAAATATATAGTAAATGATATATGTATGTAGATGACCGAAATAACCGAACAACGGGTTAAATAAACAGACATACAAATTCACATTCGTGCCTATGTACATAAATTACTTGACGAGACCTTTGCCAAAGGCGAATGTACAAATTATGAATGCATCGAAAGTATTTGAACGCTCAGGCACATTCTTGTTGTTGTTAATGTCTTAGTAAAGCAAAAAAAAAATTTAAATTAAAAAGCAATAAAATAAAATTTAATAAAGTGTAATGTGAAACTGTGCAATTAAAGTGCCAACAACAAAACAAAAAAAAAATATATACATATATGTATATGGTAACAACAACTAATGCATTGCTTATATCTTTTTGATATTGATTATCGCATTTGGTTGCTTAGTAAAATCGATTCGTTACGATTTTAAAGGCAAAGGCGAAGGCGAAAGACGTCAATAGATAAATTCTAACGGATACTTAAATATTTACGTTGATTGCAAGTACAAATATTCTGAAATAAGTACACACATACGTTCATATACATATGTATAGGGTTTGTACGCATTGGTGAATATGCAAGTGTTTATTTACTAACGTT